ATGCTGTATCCCGCCTAAGGTGTTTACAGCAGCCCAAACAAAGACAAGAACCAAACAGAAATTTTGGAGCTGAAAATTGTATGAAATAAGTATTTACTGATGTACTTACTGGTGGACTGAAGATGGCAAAATGAATAGTAACATGAAAACAGAGCTTATCTGAAGGACAGAGAAAAAAAGAAAGGGGTGCGAGGGGAAGAGTCCCTGGAACAATATCAAAATACATGTAACCAATCCTAAGGAGAAAGAATAAGACAGAAAAAAATAATTGAAAATAATTTTCCAAATTTGATAAAAGACAAAATGTATAGATTCAAGAAGCTCAACAAACATTAAATAAAATCACACCTAGGCACAAATCATAGCTGAATTGCTGAAAACTGATAAAAAAGAGAAAAATGCAGAAAACAGCTAGAGAAAAATGACATATTGCTTTTATAGGAACACTGAGCTGAATTTCCCCTGACTTATTAGAAAATATGAAGGCCAGAAGACAGTGAAATGAAATCTTTGAAAGTGCTAAAAAGAAAAAACAAAAGCTTGCCAACACAAAATGTTATTTTCAAGAGAAATATTCTTAAGAACATAAGTGAAACAAAACCATTTTCAGATAAAAGAAAAATAATATAATGTGCTGCCAGCAAACATACACTAAAAAAAAAAATGCTCTTAATTTTCTTAAAACATGACTCTTTAAAACATGGTAACATGTATTATGTAGTTTATAGCATATGTAGATTTAATATATGACAATCACAGCAAAAAACAAGAGGAAGTGACAAATGTAGAAATGCAAGTTTCTATATTTTACATAAAATGGTTCAATATTAATTCTCAACGGATTATGAAAAAAGAGATATATATTAAAATCTCTAGAATAATCACTAAAAATGACAAGACATAAAGGTCAATAAATACATCAAAAAGAAATTCTAGGCCGAGTGCGGTGGCTCATGCCTGTAATCCCAGTACTTTGGGGAGGCCAAGGCTGGCGAATCACACACAGATGGGGTCAAGAGATCAAGGCCATCCTGGCCAACATGGTGAAACCCTGTTTCTATTTAAAAGAAAATAAATAAATTCTAATAATGTATCAAAATGATAATATACAATTACTAGACAATGTTTAGCCCAAAAACACAAGATTGGTTAAACATTCAAAACTAATCAATGTATTTTACGGTATGGGGGAAAACTCCTATCATGAAATAGCCACAGTAAAAACACATGGTACCATTTAACACCATTAAAAATAAATATTCTCAGCAAACTAATAAGGAAACTTCTTGAACCTGTATCTATAAAAACCCTGCAATTAACATGCTTAATAGTGAAATACTGAACACTATTCTCCAAAGACCAACAAAAAGGCAAGAATGCCAGTGTTCATCACTCCTATTCAACACTACTACAAATCCTAGCCATTTCAACAAGGAAAAAAAGAGAAATGAAATGCATAAAAATTAAAAAGAAATAAAAGCTGGCTCTATGTACAGAAGATATGACTGTTTTATAAAGAAAATCCTAAGGAATCTAAATTGGAATAAGTGAATTTAAGAAGGTTGCAGGATACAAAGTTAACATACAAAAGTCCACTGTATTTGTATATACTGGCAGCAAATACTAGAAAAACAAAATTTTAAAAGCCAATTCTATCTACAATAGCATCAGAAAACATAAAACACTGAACAAAAGACATGCAGACCTCTCTACTTAAAATTACCAAACATCACTGTTGAATTTTTTTTTATCTTTCCGATTTCTTTTTTTTGTATTTTTAGTAGAGATAGGGTTTCTCCATGTTGGTCAGGTTGGTCTCCAATTCCCAATCTCAGGTGATCCGCCCACCTCGGCCTCCCAAAGTACTGGGATTACAGGTGTGAGCCACTACACCTGGCCGGGAAATTTTAAAAGACGTAAATAAATGGCAAGACATATCATGTCTGCGGATTGGACACCTCATTTTAAGGCTGCAGTTCTCTTCAAACTGATCACAGAGTCAACGCAATCCAAAGCATAACTACACTAAGCTCTTCTTTTTGTTTTTTAATCTGAAAAGCTGATTTTAAAGTGTATATAGAAGCTGATTAATGAATGTAAATATACAGCTTAATAGAAGAAATAAGACCTAGTGTTAGATCAGTAAGAGTATAGCTGACAATATTCCATTGCACATTTCAAAATAGCTAGAAGACAGTAATTCAAATATTTCCAGCATAAAGAAAAGCAAATATTTAAGACAACAGATACCCCAATACACTGATTTGATCTTCACAATTATATGACTGTATTATCACTGTACCCCCAAAACATGCACACCTATTATGCAGCTATAAAAAATTAAAATTAAACAAAGTATAAAATTTATATGACAATGTGAAGGATCTAAAACATCCCCAAAAAGCTTCAAGTTCTAGAATTTACACAATCTGACTTCAAAACATAGAATGGGCTGAGTAATCTAAACAGTATGGTACTGGCTTAAGGATCAACAAATAGATCAATGCAACAGATTAAGGAGTCCAGGAAGAGACCCACATTTATAGATAGTCATTTAATATTTTACAAAAGTGCCAACACAGTCCAAAAGAGGAAGTAAAGTCTTTTTGAACTATTTATAAGATAACTGGCATCCATGTGGGAAAAGGTAAGCCTTACTCTCTATCTCACACAATACACAAAAATCAAATGAAGATGAATCATAGTCTTAAATATAAACATTAAAAACTATAAGGCTTCTACAAGAAAACATTTAAAACTACCTTAATGACTTGAGGATAAAGCAAAGATTTACTAGGACACAAAAAGGAAGACCCATAAAAGAGCAAACTCATAAATAAAACTTTATCAAAATTTAAAACGTCTCAATGAAAGACACAGATAATCCAATTTTCAAAAATGAACAAAAGATCTGAATAGATATTTCACAAAATAAGATACTGCAAATAGCCAGGGTGCACATGAAAAGGTGCTCCAAACTGTCATTAGGAAAATGCAAATTAAAAGCACACTGAGATTCAACCCCACACCTGCCAGAATGGTTACAATAGGGACTTTCATATATTTTTGGTGGGAATTTAAAACAATACAACCTCTTTGAAAAGGCTGGCAGTTACTCACAGGACTGAACACCTGCCTATCCTATGACCCAGCAATACCACTCATAGAGAAATAAAAATTTGTCTACCAAAGTATTTGTACAAATATGTTCATAGCAGATGTCTTCACAATAGTGAAAAACTTGAAACAGCCTGGGTATCCAACAAGTGACTAGATATACAAACTGGTAATATTCTACTTAGCAACAAAAACACAAATGGAATTATTGATAAACACAAATCAATCTAAGAAATGTCATGCTGACTCAAGGAAGCTTTACATGCAAGAAGAGTAATACACCATATTAATTCTTTTATATGAAGTTTTGCAACAGGAAAAACCAATCTATCCTAGTAACATGTTAAAACACTAGCTGCCACTAAAAGGGTAGGTCAAGGGCCTAACTAGGAAGGAGCATGAGGGAACATTTCTTAGAATGATGATGGTCTATACTTTGACAGAAGTTTGCATTTCATGGGCATGTTTATCTGTAAAACTTATCAAAGAGTACACTTAAGATGTGTGCATTTCACCGAATGTAAATTGCACCACGCACAGAAAAAAAAGAGCAGTAAGCTGACATCAAACTCTAATGATATACATGCGGTAGTTACTGGGGGGAAGTATACCTGCATTGAAATGCATAAAAGATTAAGATGAATCAACCGTATAAAACAATTATAGTCAGTTCTGCTATATCATGACATATGAGTTTCAAAAAACCACCACATTATACAAAATCATGCAATAAAAGCTACAAGGTTTACAAAGGAAATGGGGTTGGGGGCACAGCATGCAAAAATGTTGTAACACATTTACAGAGAGATAAGAAACTAATAAAAACAATTGTATACCTGTTAAGTTATTAAGGAACAGACCAGGCACAGTGACTCATGCCTGTAATCCCAGCACTTTGGGAGGCCATAGTGAGAGGAGTGCTTGAGCACAAGAGTTCAAGACCAGCCTGGGCAACACAGCAGGACCCCATCTCTACAAAATAGATGGGCAGAGTGGTGCACTGCCTGTAGCCTCAGCTACTCAGGGGGATCACTTGAGCCTAAGAGGTCAAGGCTGCAGTGAGCCATAATAATGGCTCTACTGCACTCCAGCCTGAGTGACAGAGACCTTGTCTCAAAAAAAGCAAACAAAAATTGTTACGGAATAAATACTACAAGGAAGTATTTTACCTTGAAAAAAACACCTAAGTTTATACTTGGGAAATGGGTGTCATAATAGTTACTACTTGTGAGCTACTGTGACGTGATGAAAGGAAGGGTTATCTGACAGAGGGAAATTTGTAACACCAGTTGTGTGGCTGGGTGTGGCTCATAACTCACAGCAAACTGAATAACTGGTAGATAAAGGAAGGCTGTCTGATATATAAAAACAAACTCAAGGCCGGGCGCAGTGGCTCAAGCCTGTAATCCCAGCACTTTGGGAGGCCGAGGCGGGTGGATCACAAGGTCAAGAGATCGAGACCATCCTGGTCAACATGGTGAAACCTCGACTCTACTAAAAATACAAAAACATCAGCTGGGCATGGTGCCGCGTGCCTGCAATCCCAGCTACTCAGGAGGTTGAGGCAGGAGAATTGCCTGAACCCAGGAGGCGGAGGTTGCGGTGAGCCGAGATCATGCCATTGCACTCCAGCCTGGGTAACAAGAGCGAAACTCCATCTCAGGGGGGGGAAAAAAAAAAAAAAAAAAAAAAACTCAACCATGAGGGACAGGCAAAATTTATATGGACTAGAAATTTATTATTGTAGTTCTATGTGTTTACAAAGAGCAATGAACATGAAGATTTTTCAGATCAGTATGTCAACACAGATCATCAGAAATTATATATTAACACTGGTATGTAAATAATATCCGTGCTTAACATAAAATGGAGACTAACATTATAGTTTAATTCCTGTTATTGATAGGTTTAAGCCTACTATCATGCTATTTGTTCCATCTCTATCTGTGCTCTTTTTAATTCTTATTTTTGTTTTTTAGCCATTAATAGTTTTCTACTATCCTTTTTGGCAGTATATTAATGAGTACCTTATAAGTGTTTTGTTTTTTATTTTTATATTTATTGATGAAATATCCAAATTATATATCCTTTGAATAGAATTCATTTTATTTCTAATCCTTTAAAATAAATCGACAATGAGCATAAATTGAGATCATGATAGAAATAGAAAATATAAAGAGAAATATAAAGAAAAGAAAAAAGACTAAAAGGAATAATGAAATAGAAACTGTAAAAGACGTAGTCTTCCAAAATAAAAATAAATATATTGGAAACTGAAAGTAGGCAAACTTTACTTGCATGCAATACAAAAAGAAACAAACAAACAAAAAAAAAGCGGGGGGGGGAGAGAGAAATTCTTTCAATTCCTATAACTAAAATTAAGGTTAAAAGGCTGGGCACAGTGGCTCACATCTGTAACCTCAACACTTTGGGAAGCTGAGACAGGAGGATCTCTTGAGCTTACGATTTCAAAAACAGCCTGGGTATTTCTGTCTCTATGAAAAAATAAAACACAATAAAAATAAAATTAAAATTAAGACTTAGAAAATAGCAAAGCTTCCTACAGTATCCAAAAACACAAGTGATACTGGGTATTGCCATGGAGCTTTAAAGATACTGTTATGTGTCCAATACTTAGCCAAGCATAATTAATGATACTTTACATGGTACTAAAAGCATAATATTTATAGAACACAATGGAAAATGTTTAGGTTACTTAAAATGATTTTGAGATTTGATACAATAGCAGAATTTGCAAATCTGACTTTTAAAGTTATAAGACAATTATTCTCTAGGATGAAGATTTCAAAATGAGAGTTTTAATTTAGTTGTGAATAAAGAGAGAAAAAACTAAATTTTTAAAAACAGTAAGTTTTTTTTAATGCATCTTTGATCTATTATATTCTTGATTTAGTATATGTATCACATGCTGGCAGTGCAGGAAACACTTTTAAAAACCTATTTACAGTCATGTTTCACATAAAATGTTTTGTTCAGCAAAGGACTGCATATAAAACAATGGTCCTATAAGATTATAATGGAGCTGTTCTATACAAGTGTACCATTCTAAATCTTTTATACCACACATTTTTACTGTATCTTTTCTACATGATATATTTAGATACACAAAAACCATTGTGCTACAGTTCAGTATAGCAACAAGCTATTCAGTTTTATACTCGAGGAGCAACACATCACACCACATTGCCTAGGTGTATAAAAGGCCATGTGGTATGGTCTATACCATTTGGGTTTGTGTAAATACATTCTATGATGTTCCTATAATGATGAAACCACCTAACAACACATTTTTCAGAATGTATCCCCATTCTTATGAAACACATTTTTTGTTGCTGTTATCATGTCTCACTTCATGTCACAAATGCCTCAAAAAATGATTACTATTGTTTTAGTAGTACCATTTTAACCCAGTAGGACTAACAAAATTCTCATCAGAAACCATGGAAGCCAGGCAGCAGTTGGATTACACATTTGAGTGCTGGAAGAAAAAAAACTAATCCAAGAATTCTATAACCAGCAAAACTACAGTTCAAAAAGGGAAAATTAAGACATTTCCATATAAACAAAAACAGAGGATTTGTCATTAGCAGACCTGCAGCACAAGGTAAAGGGAAACCTTTCAAGTTGAAAACAAAGGACACAGTAATTCAAATCCATCCAAAGAAATAAAGAACTCAGTAAAGATAACTACCCTGGGTAAACATAAAAGGCAGCTTTGGTGTGTTATGTTTTCATTGTCATTCATTTCTAAGTATTTCCTAATTTCCTGTGCTTTCCTCTTTGTGTGAGCTTTTAGTAGCATACTGTTAAGGTTCCACATATTTGTATACTTTCCAGATTTCCTGATTAGTGATTTCTAATTTTTTTGTGGTTAGAGACTATGCCTTGCATTATTTCAGTCTTTTTAATTTATTAAGGTTTGTTTTATGGCCTAATTTATCCTGGAGAATCTTCCACGTGTACTTGATAAGCCTGTTTATTTCACTATGGGTTGTTTGAAAATTCTATAGATGTCCGTTAATTCAAATTGATTTAGAGTTTAGTTTGTTTTGTATTTCTTTTCCTGTCTAGTTTTCTATTCATTATTTAAAGTGTTGCATTGAAGTCACCAACCAGGACCATAAATTGTTTACTTCTCTCTGCAATTCTGTCGGTTTCACGTCACATATTTTGGGGCTGTATTGGTAGGTGCATATTTATTTATAATTTTAATGTCCTTATGATAAATTGACCCTTTATTGTGATAAAATACACTGCTTCGTATCTAGGAACAATTTTTATATTAAAGTCTGTTTTGTCTGATATTAATATAGCTAGTTTGGCTCTCATGTGGTTACTGTTTACATAATATTTCTTCTTTTTATTTTCAAGCTGGCGTGTGTCTGAATCTAAAACTGACTCTTGTGGACAATATAACACTGTTTTTTTGGCTTTTTGTTTTGTTTTGTTGTGTTTCATGTATTCTGTGAACCACTGCCTCTTGATAATTTATTTGCTTTTACTGAAATTATTAATAGGTAGATTTAAGAGGTGGTAGGACTGAAATTACCAGTAGGTAGGTACTGATAGGTAGGATTTATGTCTTACTTTGACATTGTTTATTGTTGATATGTCTTAGCCTTTTTCTGCTATTTTTGCTCTTCTGTTTCATTGTGGTTTCTTCACCACAGTTTTGAGTTATTTTTGTAGTGTTTTCTCTCGGGATTTCTTAGATAATAACTTAAAACAAAGTAATTTGAATGTGTACCAATATAATTACAATCATGTATTAAATTTCATTCCAAAATACCTCATTTCTTTCCTTCTTCTCCTTTGTGCTACTATTGTTACGCAAATTAAAATTTTAAATGCATTTTAAACTCATGTAGTTTTAGAATTATCACTGTGTGTGTGTAAGCACGCGCACACGCGCGTGTGCATGTGCATGTTTTTGAGACCTAGTCTTGCTCTGTCGCCCAGGCTGGAGTGCAGTGGTGCCATCTCAGCTCACTGCAATCTCCGCCTCCCAGGTTCAAGCAATTCTCCTGCCTCAGCCTCCTGAGTAGCTGGGATTCTGTTTTAAATCAAATATAAGAAAAGAGTTCACCATTTCTACTAAAAACACAAAAATTAGCTGGGCATGGTGATAGGTGCCACTAGCGAGGCTGAGGCAGGAGAAATGCTTGAATCCGGGAGGCAAAGATTGCTTTGAGCTGAGATTGCACCACTGTATTCCAGCCTGGACAACACAGCAAGACTCCGTTCCCAGCCCTCCCCCCAAAAAAAGAAAAGATTTATAAACAAAAATACATGTATATGAACAGGATGCAGCTAAAGTAGTACTGAGAGGGAAATTTACAGCTGTAAAATGGCTATATTAAAGAAAGAAGATTTGCCAGGCATGGTAATGTGCACCTGTAAGTCCCAGCTACTAGGGAGGCTGAGGCAGGTGGATCACTTGAGCCCACGAGTTCAAAGGTGCAGTGAGCCATGATTGCACTACTGAACCCGGCCTGGGAAACAGAGTGAGACCCTGTCTCAAAAATTAAAATTAAATAAAAAAGAAAGATCTTTAATTACTAATCCAATTTGTTCTTCAAGAACTAACTAAACCCAGGCGGGGCATGGTGGCTCACAACTGTAATCCCAATACTTTCGAAGGGTGAGGCAGGCAGATCACCTGAGGTCAGGAGTTCGAGACCAGCCTGGCTAACATGGTGAAACATCACTTCTAATAAAAAACCAAAAAATAAGTTGAGCAAGGTGGTGCGCACCCATAATCCCAGCTACTCGGAGGCTGAGGCAGAAGTATCCCTTGAATCCAGGAGGCGGAGGTCGCAGTCAGCCAAGATTGCCCCACTGTACTCCAGCTTAAGCAAAAAAAGCAAAATTCCGTCTCAAAAAAAATTAAAATTAAAAGAAAAAAGAATGACCTAGACCCAAAGCAGGTATCAGAAAAGGAAATATAAAGATTAGAGCAGAAATAAGTGACATAGAGACTAGGAAAATAATAGAATCAACAAATTCAAAAGTAGGTTCTACTAAGAAAAAAAAAGACTCAAATTACTAAAAATCAGGAATTAAAGAAGAAATATTAGTACTAAACTAAAAAGGATCATAAGAAAACAATTATTAAATACTATGAACAATGAATTACATAACCTCCTTTAAACTGACAAATAAACTGACAAATTCCTAGAAAGACACAAACTATTGAAACTGCATAGTAATTTTAAAACACAAAGACAAGCCTGTGCTCAGAATGGCTTCACTGGGGAAATCTACCAAACATAAAAATTAACATTAGTCCTTTTCAGACTCTTCCAAAAAAAGCTAGAAATACTTCCTAACTCATTCTACAAAGCCAGTATTACCCCGTTAACAAAACTAGATAAAGGCATCACAAGAAAACTATAGAAAAAACCTTCATTAATACAGATGCAAAAATCCTCAACAAATTACTAGCAAATCAAATCCAGCAACGCATAAAAAAGATTATAAATCATGACCAAATAGGATTTATCCCAAAAACATGAAGTTTGTTTAACAAAAAAATCAATCAATATATTAAGAAAATAAATATAATTATAATCATATATATAATAATCTCAACAGGCACAGAAAAAGAATTTCACAAAACCCATCACCCTTTCATGATTTAAAAATCATGAAAAATCATGACTTAGCAAACCAGAAATAGAAGGGAACTTCCTCACAGAAAAAGAACATCTATGAAAAATCCCCAGTTAATATCATACTTAGTGGCAGAAGACTGAATATTTTGTCCTTAAGATTAGGAACAAAAAAAAAAATGGATGTCTTCTCTCACCACTTCTATTCAATAGTACTGAAGTTTCTACCCTGGGCAAGAAGGCAAGAAAAACATATAAAAGCCATTAGATCAGAAAGCAAGAAATAAACATCCTCTATTCACAAATGGCACAACCGTTTACATAGAAAATCCTTAAGAATCTCCTCCCCCAAAATTATTAAAAGTAATCAAGTTCAAGAAGACTACAAGAGGCCGGGCGCGGTGGCTCAAGCCTGTAATCCCAGCACTTTGGGAGGCCGAGGCGGGTGGATCACGAGGTCAAGACATCGAGACCATCCTGGTCAATATGGTGAAACCCCGTCTCTACTAAAAATACAAAAAAAATTGGCTGGGCATGGTGGCGCGTGCCTGTAATCCCAGCTACCCAGGAGGCTGAGGCAGGAGAATTGCCTGAACCCAGGAGACAGAGGTTGCGGTGAGCCGAGATCGCGCCATTGCACTCCAGCCTGGGTAACAAGAGCGAAAACTCCGTCTCAAAAAAAAAAAAAAAAAAAGAAGACTACAAGAAACAAGATTAATAAGCAAAAATCAGTTGTATCTCTATACAACAGTAATAATTTGGAAATGAATTTAAGAAAACAATTTCATTTGGGACAGGATTTTCTTTTAAAAAAGAATACTTAAGAAGTGCAAAACCTGAACACTAAAAACTACAAAACACTGTTGAAAAAAACCAAAGAACTCCTAAATAAATGAAAAGACTCGCCATGCCATATTCATGAATTTGAGGACTAAATATTATTAAAATAGCAGTATTCCCCAAATTAATCTAGAGATTTAACCAAACCCATCAAAATCCTAACTTGCTTTGCTGCAGAAATTGACAAACTGATCCCGAAATAATACACAAATGCAAGGGCCCAGTAGAGCCAAAATAATCTTGAAAAAGAAGAACAAAGTTGGAAGACTCACACATCCCAATTTTAAAACTCAATAAAAAGCGACAGTAACCAAGAGAGTGTGTTCCTGGCTTAAAAACAGACACAGAAATCAATGCCATATAATTCAGTCCAGACACTAACTCATATTTATGATCAATTAACTGCTGCTGTTTTGAGATAGGGTCTCATTCTGTTACCCAGGTTGGAGTGCAGTGGCATGATCACAGCTCACTGCAGC